GAAAACCTGAACGTTTTCTGGATGTCCTCATTAACCAACCTCTGGGACGACCACGTCTCTCCTCACCTGTACAAGTAGTAGAAGAAAGAGAGCAGGTAGAAGCCCAGCTTGCACCAGGACTCCTTCTGGCAGTAGTTGAGGATGTCGGCGTTCATCACGCTGACCGGATCGTACATCACTTCCGATCCGTCGGCCGGCCGATGAAAGAACCTGAAAAGAGCAGCGGGGGGAAGTTTGGCCGGACGGCACGACACACAGCGACGGGACAGCTGCTGTGGGACCGTACCTCCACAGATGGTAGAAGAGCAGCGGGATATTGAGGCCAAGTGTGACCCACTCTCCGGCGCACATGAACATCAGGCAGAAGAGGCCGTGGATGGAGTACTCTGGTACCACCAACTGGTTGGGACAGACATAAGGACGAGGACTGGGTTAAACATCGCCAGGATGGATGCTGCAGCGCCGAGTAAACTCAGACCTTCAGAGCGGAGGCGTCACCGTTACACACTGCTGCTGAACGGGAAGAAGTAGCTCCAGAGGTATTTAGACTGTTTTATTTGTTTCTAGGCTTTACACTGATTTAAAAGCTGCCAGCTTTCCTCCAACAAATCAGTAGTTTAGTCCCATCGTATGAAAGCGAGTTTTTTTTTGTCTGTTCAGTAAGCAGCATCCTGAGCCTCCAGACTCCTGCTCAACAGTCTAAATGCAGAACAGCTGCAATTATTTTCTACTTTTTTGTCCTTTCTATTATCTGTTTAATGGTTTTTCAAACAATTTCAGCATAATTTTAAAGTCTTGCCTCGGATTTGAATCGAGAAATGGACTTGGACTAGACCATTCTATCAGATTGATCTGAACCATTCCATTATAGCTCTGCTACTGGGTCTGCAGTCTGCGGGTCCAGAGCTGCCAGTGGCTCTTCGGATCCTTCACTATGTGTCTGAGTGACTTTGTTAAAAATTACAAAACACAAACTGAAGTTTTTAAATATAGGTGTAATAACAAAAGTCAGTCTTAGCTGCTTTGAAACCTTTTTGTGGAATAATTGCATTGAATTTCCACAGCAGAATGACACTGGAAGTGTCATTTATATTTTTAAGATCTACTTTTTCTTGTCTCTGTGTTGGAAATCCCACCAGTGTCTACTACAGATATTTTATTTTCCAGTATTTTGATTGTAACTACATATTTAATTTGCAAACATTTTTTATTGTTTTGGAACTGACATTCATTAATATGTGAATAACTTTATAATATGACTGACATTTGAATTTATTCCAGTTTTATTGTATTTACTTATGGATGTTCTCTTTTTCTTTCTTTTACAAATGTGGTGAAAATATGTCGAAAGATGAAGCCACAGTTTTTTCCCTAATGACTAAATAATAAATTACTGCTGTTCATTTTTCCCTCTGAGACTTTTCAATAGGCACTACAACTTTATCTGCTTTTGTTCTGCGTTTTTTATAAATGTCAACATCCCATGAAAGAAAGTGGAGTTTTTTCTTTTTCAGAGCCTAAAAACAAAACACATTTAAAACGGTTGTTCTTTCAAAATAACAAACTTCTTATAGTAGACTCTTTATTTTGTTTTTTTAATTTAAGCTGCCGTTTTTCAAAAGTTCATGTAATATTTGTGGCTCTAAACAGGGTTTCTGTAGCTTCATGCATGATGCTGCCACCACCGTGTTTCAGGGCTTTTTCCACAACACATAATACAGTTTCACTTCTTTCATTTACAGCTTAGAAATATACGTTAGAGTCGACGGTGTGAGTCCCTTCATCCAACTCAAATGAATCAGAATCTTACCCTGTTTCTACATCCTGAACTTCCTACTCAGGCATTTTCAAAGGAGCATAAAGAGCAACAGGAGCTTTCAGAGACTCTTGAGTTTATTTTTCGCTAAAAGCTTCGAAAGGAAAAAAAGAAAACTCCACGGATAAAAACCTTGATGGCATGTCCATCAACGCCTGTCTGCAGGACAGGAATATATGTGAATCAGTGTGTGTGTGTGTGTGTGCGTGTGCAAAAGAGACAAATGGTGTTGGTTGTCTGAAGCCCCTCTGCCTTAGTCATCCGCTTCCCTCCACCCCGTCCAAAAGGTGAGAATCATCTGTTACTCACTCTGCGGAGCAGGTTGCAGATCCGCTCGATGTTTAAGATCCTTTCTCTCTAAAAAGGAGGACAGAGAGAGAGAGAACGCCGCCTGTCAATAGTCTGCAAAATACAAGATGTTCCTACAAAACAAAAACAGTCACATAATGAAAGAACAAATACATCTTCATCCGTTAGAGAGCTGGAAATGATATTAATGTTGGTAATTATTAACTAAAACACCAACAATCGCTTGATTTTGTATTTTTTTTAATTAGTTTTCAAAAAGCTTGGATTGATTACACTCATAAACCCGTCTACCTTTAATGGACTGCGATGTTTTGGACTGCTAACAACCCTCCTGCGAGCGATAACTCGACGCCTAGCTCTGATATGAACGCCGTCCGTCTTTCACAGCATCGATCAGACACTATCTGCATGTCACTCATTGGGTTGTTCACTAATAAGCCATCGTGGGGAAATTATGTGTTTAATAGAGCAGCGAAGCTAAAATATCATTAGTCCTGTCATTAGCAGATGGCTCATCCATTTTATTATTTCTTTTCGGTGAGGCAAAGTTACATCAAACAAGAAACATTGGTTAATCAGCAAGTCTAATTCCCTTTTATTTATGAGTCCTTTTTTTAAAGCTTCTGTCTCGGGTCGAGGCCCCTTGATGTCTGCTCCCTTTAGTCGATTTTTTTTCCGAAAATGTGGACATAAATGGAGAATCCCCTGCTGACCTGAGAGTAAATTCTGCCCTGAATCCTCAGCCAGCTATCAACTATTCAGCTTCAGCACAGTTAGCTCGGTCTGTCTGACTCCCTCCGTCTTTTTCAAGCTTCGTGCCCCACATCCGTCAACGGCGCAGCGATGCGGTTCAACATGTGAATGCGATAAACCGAATGTTATCTGGTTTGGAGTTGGAGTTGTCCATCGTTGTGCTACTCTGTCTTTATCGCCTGTAGCTTCCCCGAGGATCTGTGTCCGGTCATCCAGGCTCAGTGGGACCGAATCAACCCAACGGGGGACATTTATCAGAGGCGGTCGAGAAATTACACAAAACAAAAGAGAGCGAAAACGAGGAAGCGATTACAAAATGTAATTTGTACCTGCTGCTTTGAATAATGAAACACTTTGACGCATTTAAATCATATTGATACAAATAATTATTCTGCAGCCATATATATATATAAAAAACACATCCTGGTCCACCGCTAAGGCATAACAAGATTTCATGCGTTGAGATTGAGATTAAAAAGCCGTGATTTTTCTCGATAAAGTCGTGTCTGTTTCTCAAAGTAACAACGCATTTTCTGTAATATAAAGTCGGATCTTATGAGTTTCCCAGTTGGAAATACAAAATTGATTAAAAAAAAATAATGAAGCTGGAAGTCCTCGTATCCGGAGTGGCAAAGGAATATCACGAAAGTTGAACGATTCAACTATTTATCGGGAAATCTAACCGTTTCTTTCTTGTTAAGCTACTTTTTAAATCCACAAAATGGAAGAGAAAAGTTTGCTAGTGGCTTGTATTGTTAATAGCAGCACCAAAAAATGTACAAATCTAGAAGTTTCTCTGACACCTAAAACGCGGTTGAGTTGGGTTTTGTCACTAGAGGTCTGATTTCTGGGGCAGCCATGTTGTGTCTGTGTTGGAGTCTCTTATTTTGAAGTAAGACAGGAATTAGTAGGTTAGTTGTTGAACTAAAGAGTTGTTTAATGAGGAATGTTCGCTGTGCTAGATGAGATTAGTATTAGATGAATGCTTACTAAACGTTTGAACTCGATGATATAAAGGGGATTTTAGCTGAGGTATAAAAATCATTGAAAGGATTGACTGTGTTTACAAGACTCCAACTGTGAATATTAGCTACAAACACAAATCCAAACTGGAAACGCACGTTTCAACACTGCCATGTTGTCTGTATGTAATCAAATGTTCACTGCCTCTGTCGTTTTTGTACACAACCCAGGCCGCGCAAACGGCGGCTTCTCTTGACTTAAATCCGAAACCAACGCTGCGCATTTCCATCCAGTTCCTCTTCTGTTTGTCCAGTTGATTTGTATTTTTGGGGAGAAGCTGCACATCAGCTTTTAGATGCATGACGTGTTCGAGTTGTCGTCTTACAGTGTGTGTGTGTGTGGCAATGCCACTCAGTCATGCAGCTTTGACGCAACGAGCTTTCAGCGTTGAAAAATGGCTTCCACTTTTTTTCAGAGACTGTTATGGATTTTACAGGTGGTGCAGCTTTTGTGTCCACTTCCTGTGGCTGGCGTGCCTCCACACACCCACGGCCTGGTTTCACAGTTTCCTCTCCCGCTCCTCATCGCTCCCTCACTTTCAGATGAAGGTTCACATGACTGCTAGAACATTAGCTATCCTGTGAAAAAGATGCTCACAGCTGCTCCTCAGTTGCTAAGTGAATGATAACACTTTCTTCTGACTCATGATAGCGCTGTTAGCTTAAGCAAGGAGAGGAATTACTGATACAGATGAGGTTTTATGTGGCTTGTGGGACGGTAAAATATATTTATATTGTTGTACGCCATTGTGTTTTATGTGATAGATAGCAGCACTAAATTTCAAGATTAAAGAAAGACTCCTTGCAAATGCAAATTCGAAAAGTGTCGAGGATTTGTATTCGACACAGCTGAGTCAAAACTTTCACTCCACCAGCTTTTCACCAGGAGAAACATTTTTACTTGTGATTCTTTATGAAATTGCTCAACCTGTGTCAGATCTGAGGACCAAACGGCTGCTACTTGATTAGTACGAGAGTAAACTGAGTCATATGCCAATTTCATTTATCGCATCGTTTATCATTTACTGTGATAACGATTTTGATTTATCGTTATCACGTTAAATTCCAAATAATTACCTTTAAAGAACCCTAAACCCATCCGTATTGTTGTGATTGTTATTTTTAGTATTTTTATCGACTGGTAGCTCAGTAAGAGCTTCAATAATAATAGGATTAAATGCAGTTACTCTGTGTAGTTTGGTGACATAAATCACTTCTTTATGTGACTTAAGAAGCATATTATAAATGGGTAAGTTTTTCAAGAGCAGTATTTGTGTTTGTGGGGCTTTGACTGTTGTTTCTTAAAGCCACAGAAATCCAGTTACTGAAGTTGTTATTGTTATTATGATAACAATAACTCTATCATATCACAAAATATCGCGATAAAACTTTAAATCCATATCGTCTACCCCTACTTCCCTTGAACTAATATGTGCGTCTTTGTCCTCCTTTAATACATAAAATCCAAAGAAAATACATTGGATTTTTGGTAAAATGACAAGGAATGAGAAGAAAACTGCTAGAAACTAGGACAAAAATTGGCTTTTTGTTTTGTTTTGTTTTCTAATTAATTATAGATTTTGTTCTTGCAACGCAGTTCGCTCTGACAGCATCGCAGTTCATCATTGTCTAAACAGGGGCTTCATTCGAATGGATCTCTTTAACTGATTAGGCCAAGGAGCCGACGTCTTTGAAGAGCGTTGATTGCTTTAATCTGCATACAAATGACTTCTCAAAGAAACACCGTCTGCTTTACCACGGCGGCAATCGCTCGGAAGCCGGGATTAACGGTAAAATCAAAAGTACAAATATTTATTGCTAAGGAAATTAATGCATCGCTCTAAACGGAGCTCAATTAAATACCCAGAGGAATCCCCAGACCATTCTCCGCCATTAAATGGTGGCTGCCTGCTCTGTTTGCATGTGTGTAATGATCATGAAGAAAAAAAAATCTGAAAGCAGAGATTGCTCTTCAAGCACATGAAGGTTAGATTTTTTTTTTTTTTTTTAGATTTAGGGAAACAACGGGGTTATTCTTACCGCTCTGGTGGGATTGCTCTGATCAATGGGGTTTTTGAAGTCTGTGCGGAGTTCATCAAATGCAATGATCTGGAAAAAAAGAAGAAAAGAGAAAAAAGTAGCAGAACGGTGTGAGAAAATGTTCTTTCGACTTTTCAGACACACTCGTAACAATTGGCTGCAGGCCGATGCTATCGACAAGCAGCGCCTATACCGCCCAGCTGCGGCCGCATTCTTCGCATTGTGAGAGGCACACATGGTGATTTAGGGATGGATGCGCACATGTGCAATTAGTGGAAGCATTGATGAATGTGAATTGTCTTGTGAATTTTTCACCCCTTTGACACACAGCAGCGTCCAGAAAAAACACTAACCTGCTAGCAACATTCATCAATAATTAAAAGCATCCGTGTATCTTGCAAAGTTGTCGAGGTTAAAAATGCATGAATTTTCCGTTTAGATCATTTTTTTGTTTATTTAATGCAAGCCAAAATCAGATTAGTGCTTTAAAAGTAAAAGAAAAAAACAACCCGATGCGCTGACTGGCAGGTGAGCTTTGGAAATGTGAGCTTTGGAAATGACTGCGACTGCTCCTTAAGACGCAGGAGAAGAGTGAACGTCAGCAGTGAGGAACCACTTCTATGTACAATAGAAAACGTCCCGGTAATTTCCCCCGTCTGAGCCCATATGGCGCCCCCTCATCTTTCACACTTGGCTCCCTTGTAAACAGATGCAGTTTCCATGGAGACATGGTGAGTCCCCTCGCTGGGCACCATGGTTACTCTTGAAAGAGAAGGGGGGGAGGAATAAAAGCTGATTAGTTGTGTGAGTGAGCCATACATAGTTTTGGGTGCTGCACCCATGGGTGGAGGCAGACCCACGAGGGGGGCGGAGGGAGTCGGAACATATTCCTGGTTTGACGGCGTGTTTAAATCACCACAGAGCCAGACGGACGCCTCACATGCAGACACGCAGAGTGACTCACATACAGTCTCACCCACTTAGTCAACTGGTACGTTAGTCATTTTAAGTCCTATAGCCCTAATGAGGCGTTTCATATCTCGCATTATGCCTGCCTGACTGCCTCCATGCAGCAAATGTAAAAAAAAATAGGTGAGACATCGAAGCGGAGATGTTTGCAGAGTGTGTAACCGCCAAACAAAGAGCTCAAGTCTCCTGAGGTGTCTGAACAAATTCCACCCAAAGCAGGGCGTTAGATGAAGCCCAATCTGGCGGGTCAGAGTCATGATCGTTGAGGCTTTCAGGAAGCCGGAGCACTTTGTTTGAGAAAGTGTTTGTCGTCTGGAGCTCTCCGATGGATGACTGATTGCATAATTAGAAATCGTGCATCCAGGGACGGTGCTAGCTTGTTCGGTGCCCTGGGTGAACAACATTCAGCACCTCCTAACCCCCCGACTCTCGCTTTTTCAACCAACCGTGACACGTTATTTCAAATTTCCATTTTCTGAAGCAGGCATAATGGAAATTTGATTAAATCTTATTTGAAAAACATAGAAGTGGAACACAACACAGGTCTATGAGTATGTAGCCAGAAGCATCGTGCTGCGTTTACACAGTGTTGAAAGTGTAAGGAGCTATATTTAATCTATTTGGTATTGATAAGTATCAGTTATGGGACATAACAGCAGTATATTGGAAAACAGTCCAAATTTTCACATGTTAGCATTTTTATTAAATAGTCTCTCGCTGCCCACACCGCTAATTTCAAAAAACTGCTAGTGCGTGCATCATTGTTACCTTATTCACTTTTAAAAGGAATAACAATCCAACTGATAACATTTGTGCTAAACAGAAACTGACACATTCATAAATGAATGCATTTGACTTAGAAATTTGCTCTACTCACTGTAGACTTCAAGAGCTTCCATTAGAAATGTGGGCAAAATTTTGCCAATATTCCACAAATGTTGAAAATACACAAGTTTTCAGTGGTGGTGTTTCCATTAAATAAGAAATGTAACTAAAACCACAAGTGAACAAGTATTCGATTTCGATACAGCTGAAAAACCACCTCATCCTGGCACAACGTGGGTTTTCTCAAAATTGTCGTGTTTCTGTCGGGCAAATATGTTTTTGTAATTCCATTTTATGCATTTATATGTTCAACTGAAACTATTCTAATGTCATATAATCTTTACCCATAAGATATCATTTCAAAGATCGCTAAAGTTTGTGTTGCTCATAAAAGTGAACAGTTAGAAACTCTGTCAATCTAAAAGCAAAAACACATTTTTACTACGCATCTATTTACTACTGTTAAAATATTCACAAAAACGGCCCAGTCAGAGTATCTTAAACCTTGGCTGTTAATTGATTTTTTTTTTTTTTACCTATTTTTATATTTTTAAAGGTGTTAAAAGAAATCTGTGAAATTACACTGATTGGTCAAGAAGAGGCATAGAGTGACACAAAGTTGAATTAAGTCGCTCACAAACCCACAAACATACACAAAAACATCTTTTTAATAATGTGCACAGTAATAATGAACTGACTGTTCATTGGTTGTCATAATTAGTGTCCCCCTGGTTGTAGTGGTGGGCTGCAGCCTAACTTTTAGAGATGCCACTGGTCCCAAGAATCAAACTACTACATTCTAGGACTATTAAGGCACATTTACTTTTTTACTTTTACCCTAAATGGCCTGAGCCAATAAGTGTGCTTGTGCAGAAGAAAGAGAAAAAAAAACCCAAGTGTTGTACAACTGCGTGTAGGTGGACGTGTTTGTCTGCCTGTGTGGGATGATATAAGAGTGGACGTCCACAGGCCCCAACATGTGCCCGATTCGCTGTCAGAGTGTGTGTGTGTGTGTGTGTGTGTGTGTGTGTGTGTGTGCAGTGGTTTCGGTGACACTCACCTGCCATATGACAAAGAAGATGAGCCCGGCGCACAGAACCAGGGTGAGCATGTAGCAGAAGGCCGCGAAGGTGAACGCCATGTCTTCCCCAGCCAGCCTGATGACCGGAGGAGGGGGACAAAAAACAAACAAACAAAAAAAAAAGAATCCAAAAACTTCCCGCCTGCTTTCTTTCTGTATTGTTTTCAGGCTGCCGGTGTTCCTCCCTCCTGAGCGGCTGCTTATTGTCTGTTTCCACTTCAGGTGTGAGCAGAGCAATCACTGACAGTGACGATCAATAGTGAGCTCAAGCTGCTTCCAGTGCTTGTCTCCCCTTTTGTGCGGCTGACGGCAGGACGTCTCGCTGGGGTTCGGGGAGCTCTGAGGAAATCTGTTCTCAGCCACAGTTTCACTGTTGTTGCCCCCAACGCACACACACCCGGTGCTCCTCTTTTTTTTCTCTTACAGGCAAATAGTCTGCCTCCTCTTCCGCCGAGGAGTTTCTCCTGAGACAAAACCTACACATATGTCTCTGAAGGTAAAAGTGTCTGATGGGCACACCGACTGCAGAATCGCAGGATTGTTGTCGATATTAAGAGCAGTAAAAAAGAAGAAAAAAAAGAAAGAATAAGAAAAAACAGGATTACTGTCCAGGGTGGTTATGGCTTATGGTAGTCAAGTTTACTATGGCTTACAGTTCAGACTAAGACACCCTTATTGGCATGTTATTCCAGGTCATATTTAACGGTTTTATAAACATCCAGCTTGTTTCTATCAGTAGGCTGATGAGCATTTATAATTCCCTCCTAAAGTTGAAGGTATTGCTTTGCAGGCTTATTGTGGCAAATACTTGTTGCTCCAGTGATTTACCAAAGGAGGACTCAAACGGCACGCACAAGTTTGGAATCGACACGAAATTTTGAAACACTCAAATACACGACCAAAAGCAAGGACGGATACCTTAAACTGACCTTAACATCGAGTAGGGAGTACCTGTCTGCGGGTGCAGCCGTGTCTGCCTCTGAACAGTCCACTCTGCCCTTGTTTCTGTCAGTTTGGGTCAGCACCATGTCAGTGTTGTCTGCCCTATTTCTGCGTCTCAGATGCATTCCTCAGAGTTCTCCAACCTCAAAAGAGAGAGAGAGAGAGAGCCTTCACACGCAGGTTCTTCTCCAGGAAAATGTTTCACTTCTGGCCGGAAACAATTAAAAAAAGAAGAAGAAGAAGAAGAAGAAGAAAAAAGGAGTGTAGGGGAAAAGATTTAACCAGAACCCTGTAGGGAATCTACGTGTTCACAGTGCGCAGTTGTGCCGATTTTGAAAACACTCCTGTTGATAAGCAAGACATCTCCACGGCTCTCAGAAGTCATGACTTATTGGTACCAGCCTCTCATCTCGTCTACCCAAAGCCCCTCTGCTACAGACCGCCCTTTTTTTTTTTTTTCCAGAGATGTGTATTTCCTGAGTCTGCCGTCTCTGGCTGCCTCTTTCCACTATTTCTTAGACTGCGAGAGAAAAATTTCAACCACGGTCGGTGTTATAAAAGTCAACCAATAGCGTCGCTCCGTCTCCCTCCCGCTCTCCTGCTTCCTCTCTCCTCTTTTCTGTCAGCATCCCTCTCTTGTGCATTTTTATATTTCTATAATCCCCTGCTCCCCAGAGACTGATGAGGGGGCAGGGCAAGCTGGAGATGTCTGTCTCCCTCTCCCTCCTCACCAGAGCTTTCAATCATCCATCATTTGGTGAAATGCAAGTCTGGCTCTGAGAGGGTGTTGCTTTCTGTTACCTGTCATTTCCTGCCTCCGCACCATTAGCATGCAGTAAATTGCTGTATTTTACTTTGCCTCGTTCTCATTCTCCTCCCTTCAGTCGTTCTCAGCCTCACAATGAACTGATTTCAGAAACTGCTGGTGCCGTAATGCAAAGACGTGCCACATACTTTTTCTTTTTTAAATTGAAAACTACCAAATAATTTTGTTCTCTAGATCTGAGCGTTGGCATCTGCTTTCAAAAATGTCAAAGATATGGGAAAAAGAGAAATGTTCACAGCATCCAATGGTTCAGTCTCATTTTGTGCATCAGAACCACGTAAGATGGTGGTTATGTAGTTGTTGTGTTTCTGCTAATTTTAGCTGGAAATCGACCAGATGTTTGAAGAAAGTTCTCTGGTCAGATGAGACAAGCCTGACATTTTGTTAAAATCTGAAACGCAGTGGGTAGCACCTTGTTACTATGTTGGTAGCCTTTCATTATCAGGATGGATGGAAGATGGATGGAGGTAAACAGAAGAAAACGATGTGGGAAGAAAACCTGTTACATGATATGACATACGTCAGACTGAGAAGCAGGACTCTAAACATATCGTGAATCGAAAGGTTTCAGTTAAAGTATATTTAATGTCATCCCAGACCTAAACACAACTTAGTATCTATAAGAATAAAAAAAAAAGTCTGTTCAAACCTGCTGTCCATCCAATCTGACCAAGACTTGGCTGGGAACTATGGGCAAAACTATTTCCAGATGTGATAGCTGCTGAAAATGCAATGCGAAGTTGACTTAACAAAGCTAAACACATGTGCACATCTTCTTCCTGAGCCGCATGATGGTCAGATATTATCACATCTAAACTTGCATATAATTGTTTGAACAGATTAATGCAGCACTTTCAAGCATCAGTTAATTGTTCCCAGGGATGAACCAGACTTGTTCAGCTCCATAATTCTCTTCCTGATATCTTGGCTGATCTCTTTGCAATGTGTTGGCAGAGCATCCACTGTCACCTGGCTATAGTTGCTATTGTAACAATTACCTGCTCTTACATAAGTAAATGTCTCTTTAGCTACCACTGAAACTAGCCCAGTTCCTAACCACCATCGCTTTTATGTGATTTCAGAAGTGAAAACTGAAAACTAAAGGCTTGTTTACTTTTAATGAGCTGACAAGCTAACAGCAGGTATATTATTTTAGATTAGTTTTACCTGGCAACCTTTACTTCCATGTATTTAGCATGGAAGTAATTAGAATTAGAATTAGAATGTTGTCTAATTCAGACAACATTCAGAAACAATGAGCTAGCTAGTCCTTCACATGTAAACAAATATTTCCAGCTAGCTACAATCCTTCTTTTCACCCTTTTGTTAAGTTTGGTATAACTTACCTTAAGTTGTGTCTTGTTCACCAATTCTACCTAGCAAACAAGCTATTAAAATTTATTTCAAGTCATTTTTTATTTCTTTCAGCTACTTGGTATACTGGTGCTATGTGATGTTTTTTTTTTACATTTACCATATTTTTCGGACTATACTTTTCCCCCACGCTTTGAACCATGCAGCTTATAGCCCGGTGCGGATTTTCTGTGGATTTTTCTTCAACCGCCAGGGGGCGCTTTAGCAGGAAGTGAATCATTGGAAGTCAAAATTGGAAATCAAAGAAGAAAGTGCTAATTTTCATTTAGATTCAGAGCAAGCACATGGTTGACACTGCGCCCCCTAGGTTAATGAAACTGCTATATCTCCGTGCTACATCCGCCGATCTGCACCAGATATTTTTGGTGCATCATCAGGGAGCGCTGCAGAACTCATCGATGAGTACGGCCTGGCGGACGGGTGCGGGAGCTGCGTGAGAGCATCCGCGGTGGCTGGCGGGCTGCGGTGCTGGGACCCCCGCGGTGGCCAATAGGCTGGAGCGGCGCTGAGCTGCGAGGGCCGCTCGAGGCTGCTTGCAGCTTTGATTTTAATTTATTTATTTTTTACTTTGTAGGTGCGGCTTATGGTGAGGTGCTCTCTGTAGTCCGGAAAATACGGTTTATTCAGAGTAAATAATAATCGTTCCTCGATATCCGAGTTCTTACAAAAATAGCTAAATGACATCAGCAGAAGCCTTTTGCAGCTCTGTTGAAATTCAAAACTGAAAAAGCATTCATTTGTACAGAAAACAAGTGTTAGCTGAGAGCAGGGCGAGTCATGAGTAGTTTCTAAATGATATATGAAGCATTATTCAGAACAATATTTTACACACATTTTTTAGCAGGTGAAAACTATAACTATTGCTATAATAAAGCATTCATGCTGTTTTGTGACAGTATGGAAGCACATCATGCTTTGTGTTTCTTAAATACCAAAAATTGCTTACGAAAATAAATTTGAAGCTATAAGATACATATTTGATGTTCTGCATGTGTTTAAGCTCACCCGTTGATAGGAAACCTGGTCCAAACAACAGAGACTTGAGAGAGTAACTCTTAGACATAAAAACTGAGAAAGTGAGCAGGTAAACTCACAGTTTAATATGTGAAATGTCTTGCCAATATGTAACAAAAACTGCAAAATCAATGAGAAAAGCAGTAGTTGATGTTTGTGAGACAGCCCTGAGAAACTGATGGAAATTAATTAGATTTACATTTAATAAAGTAAAAGGTAAAAACTTGATGGCATAGAATAATAAATCCAGGTTGCAGCACTCTGACTCAGTCAGATTACATTGAAAAGCAGAGCGAAGAAGACAGTCACAGCTCTGCTATTGTTTGGTGTGAGGATGTGATCACAGACAGCAGCAGGAGAGATGGCAGCCATGACATCTCACTGAAAGAGCACAGGCTGACATTTAAACCTGGGACACTTCTCCCGTCTCAACACAAAGGAGATTAGCTGATGATGAAGTCATTTTTCAAGATAATAATCCATCTTGTCACAGAACAGAGTGCTTGATCTTGTACCAGGATTTCTTATTTTATGTTCTCTTTTATCGTAATTTTATCTCATGATCAAGACCATTAATCCCTACTTTTTTTTCTTTTTTTTACTTATCTGTGTTTTAGATATTAGATCTTCAGCTGGCTTGTTATTTTATTTATTGTGCAACGAAATAGATAAAAACTCTCACAAAAATCCATTATTTTTTCCTCAGGTTAATAGAGCATATCGAACATAAAACCAGTGTGTTTTGAGAATGTAAGGTTATTACTCTATGGATTATTTTTTTGTGCATCTGGGGTCTCCAGCTCTCAAGGGACTCATTTTAAAAATGTACATCCAGATTGCAGTGTGTGTGTGTGTGTGTGTGTGTGTGTGTGGGGGGGGAAATCATTACGATGGCAGAATAACACTTTATGATCGATGAGGAATGATGCATGTTGAGGATTTAGTAGCTTCCACTCTGGTGTTATTATTTAGTCTGTATTCTCAGTGATTAAGGTTTAGCCTGCAGTCTGTTCAACATGTTTCCAGATGTAACGTTTGTCGTGCCATTTACATTCACAGTTGCATTTCCCTTGGAGCTATTTGAGTTGTCGAGCAAGCAAACTCAAATTGAACATCTGACGTGTCGTAATGATTCTCTCTGCCGTCAGTATGCAGTAAATAATGTAATGGTGAACAGCAGTCAAGTTCCACTGGTGTTGAAAGCTGACAAATTAGCCTCCGTCAGGGTTTTGGCTCCATCTAGTGTCATCGAATATGATGTGTTTTCTGGGCCGGGATCCATGGGAACCAGTCCAACATGGTTAGTCTTCTGGCCTTCAGAGTGAAGATCTTAATCCCAGGTTTCAATGCACCTACATTAACTGGTCGACAGCCTGGTGACGTTTATTTATAGGTGTAACTATTACAAAGTTGTTTAAATGCTAATCAAGGCTTTGCTGGCTTACGTCGAGATTTTTTTTATTTTTTTGCAAATGGCTGTGTAAATTTGACTTTTGCTTTCATTTCCTCTCATTATCATAGAAAATCTATTCTTTCTGATGTCTCTTTATTTTCAAAATTGAATACAGCCTTTTTCATCCCAATACCTTTAGACCTATAACAGATGGACCTCTATTAAAACCACCTTTAAATTCCTGCAAACAGCTTAAAATCAGCTTAATTAAGAAAAGACTCATTCTCAGACTTATTGTTGTCTCATTACCGGCTTTAGGCTTCCCACTAGTGGCCGTAAGAAGACATCGCAGCTCCCTCTCTCTATGAAAATATCTAACATTCTTACCTACAAACCATTTTTGTTATCCCGGTGTAGTTTCTTACAATTTCAAACAATTATAAAACACTATTTCTGTCACCACCACACAGTGTCTTGCAGTCGGACTCACATCCTGTGCATCTTATTGACTCTGTGGAGGCATCGGCCATCTTACATGTTTGTTGGAGAAGCTGCGTGTTTTGAACAGGAAGTGATTAGTTAAGGTTATTTCTGTTCTATTTCTATTCTATTCTAAGTTTCGACACATTATAAACAGAACCGTCAATTAGGATTTTGATGGATAAACTCACAGATTATACATAATTTTTAACATACCACTAAAAATCTGAAAAGTGTTCCTTGCATTTGTATTCTCGTTTTCTTCTGCCATCCCATCAACTCTGAGCAACTTTGGTCTTTCCTGATCGGTGCACCTTCTTCCACATCTCCTACATTCCCTTGCATTAGTTGGGATAAACTGCAAATTGGACTGGTAACACTTTATTTGACAGGGTGTGCCTGAGACTGACAGGACAGTGTCATAAACATGATATAACACCTGTTATGAATATGGACATGAAGGAGGCTTTATGAATGTCTGACTGTCGTCATGAAGTGTCATTCGGTAAATAATGACACATTTAATGCAGAGTCGCTCTAAAGGTTGCATTAAAAGTCCATTAAAATTGCCAACTTTGCATTAAAGTGTTATTATTTACAAAA